GTCGTGGAGCAGGTGCGTCATATAGCTCAACTTAAGTGTCTTTTTCTGAGAACACCATCCATGATTCGATGCCGTGCAGATATCGGCACACCCGCTCGCATGATGTCTTCCATCCTAATCTTCCATCCTAACCTTGGTCAGCTCTCACAGCATGTGCGATGGGCTCGGTAAGGAGGAGCGATTTCCACGACGAAGCGACGCGCAGCACCGGTCCAGGACCGTCCAGCAGCTGCCCAGAGGTGGGTCTGACCGTCGATGACGGGCGCAACCACAGGTGCAGCTGTCCGACCCCGGGCGGACCGTGCAGGTCGAGGCCAACCGCTGCATGAAGCAGACCACTAAGGGTGTCGTGGACAGCTTCGTCGGTGACCAACAGGTCATCCCTGTCATTGGGCCGTCCCTGGTGACCTCCTCAGCTACCTACTTTAACGTGAGTCGAACTGGAGACCAGGCGTTCTCCCATGCGATCCTTATTGTATGTTTCGGTGTTCGTAACTGGGACGTTGTCATAGTCAGGTGTTTTCATGACACGCGGTTGTTTTAATTTCACACAACTGACACCATTAACTTGGTGGCTACTCTGCAATGTTGAAAATACTCCGAATGGTCGCACCGCATCTGCGCGGTGGGGTGGCTGCGTTGGTGCTCGCGTTCCATGAATGCGAACGCCACTAATGTTGATGCTGTCCGGACTCAGCAGGTAGGTACCCCGTTCAAATGCGAGTAAAATAGCCGGAATAAAAATGAAATAACTCGAACAAAACGACATAAATATGACAAAGCCAACCTTCCGAGCGAGACGCCCTGCATCGCGGCATCACGCCATCTCGGCCTGAGCCTGCCTGGGCGCCTCCCTGACCCGGCCTGACCCGGCCTGACCCGCAGGGCACGCTGTCACCGGAGCTGGACGTGCGGCCGGCGCTGCTGACGTTCATCCGCGCGCCCGCCACGCCACGTCGTCTGCTGAGCACGACCGCCCTGCGCGTGCGCGGCGTGCTGCCGGCCGGCTACAGCGCCGAGCTGGACGCCACGGTAGCAGCGCTGCCGTACGCCGGCGGAGAGCTGCAGCTGGTGCTGACCATGCCCGGCCGCAGCGGCCGGCCCGGCGGCGCCGACCTGCAGCGGCTGGAGACGCGGCTGGCGCCCGCCGCCTGGCGGACGCTGCTGCGCGCCGCCACGCCGCAGCCGGTGGAGCTCACGGTGCCGGTGGTAGCGCACCGGACTGACGTCGACCTGAGGTCAGCGCTGCGTCGGCTGGGCGTGCGCGCCGCCGCCAACCCGGCCGTCGCCGACTTCTCCGGCGTCAACGGCCTGCGGGACCTGGTCTTGGGCGGCCTGCTCCAGATGACCGAGTTCCACCTGGGCCGCGCCGCGGCGCACGGACGCGGCCGACCCGGCGCAGAGGCGGCGCCTGCTCGCGACGCGCGCGACGCCTGGTGGGTGGGCAAGGAGACGCTGCCCTGGGAAGAGCCTCGGCCGGCGCCGAGCGGGCCGCGGCCCGAGCCGCTGGACGGCCGGGACGGGTTGGTGCCGCTCCGGTTCGATCGGGCGTTCCTGTACGCGCTGCGGCACGAGCCGACGGGCGCGCTGCTCCTGATGGGTCGGTACCTGGACCCGGAGAGCCACGCGTGACCGTCTGACCCGAGGAACACCGCCTGATCGCCTGACCCGGGGAGCAGCGCTAACCGCCTGACCCGGGGAACACCGCTGACCGCCTGACCCGGGGAGCACCGCCTGACCGCCTGACCCGGGGACCACCGCCTGGCCGCCTGACCCAGGGAACACCGCTGATCGCCTGACCCGGGGAACACCGCTGACTGCCTGACTCGGGGAACATCGCCTGATCGCCTGGTCCGAGGAGCGCCGCTGACCGCCTCACCCTGGAGCACCTCAACCCGAAGAGCCACGACGGGTCGCCGGCACGCTATGCGGTCGGCCATCAGCTGACTCCAGATCTGAGCGGACTGCTTATATATATTAGTGTTTCATGCGATATTACGAGTGTTAAATAATTGAGTTGTGCTCGCTTGTCGTGATAGCTTTATATTAGGGTGTGTCCCTCTCTGGCATTCTGTTGGATCGTTATTATGCATGGAGAAGTTAACGTGCGATCAGTCGTGTTGTGGCGATATTTTTTTCTTCGACTGCCTCACAGAAGTGTCGCACTACATGGATGTTCAGTGAAATTGGTAAATTTTACGTTTGTTTGAATTGCTGGTCGACCCAATCGTTGTTTATGCCAGAAAATATTAATCACAGCCGTGGAAGCGAGCCAAATACAGTCGAACATACCGCCTCGCTTCCGTGCACACCACGAACGACAGACTATACTGCCTCGCTTCTGTGCGCACCGCCAACGACAGACTATACTGCCTCGCTTCCGTGCACACCACGAACGACAGACCATACTGCCTCGCTTCTGTGCGCACCGCCAACGACAGACTATACTGCCTCGCTTCCGTGTACACCACGAACGACAAACTATACTGCCTCGCTTCCGTGCACACCACGAACGACATACCATACTGCCTCGCTTCCGTGCACACCACGAACGACAGACCATGCCGCCTCGCTTCTGTGCACACCACGAACGACAGACTATACTGCCTCGCTTCTGTGCGCACCACGAACGACAGACTATACTGCCTCGCTTCTGTGCACACCACGAACGACAGACTATACTGCCTCGCTTCCGTGTACACCATGAACGGCAGACCATACTGCCTCGATTCCGTGCACACTACGAACGACAGACTATACTGCCTCGCTTCTGTGCGCACCACGAACGACAGACTATACTGCCTCGCTTCTGTGCACACCACGAACGACAGACTATACTGCCTCGCTTCCGTGTACACCATGAACGACAGACCATACTGCCTCGCTTCCGTGCACACCACGAACGACAGACTCGCTCCGGCTGTTGACATCGTTTGAACACGCACTCGAACTGGCGGCGTCCGTGAGGCAGTAATAGCGGAGTGTGGATCACCGCACGTGGGAGTGGCCGTCACTTCCCACGGCAGTGGATGGACTGGTCCGTGCTGCCACCCAGACGTGCGGCAGCATGATAGCACGGGCTGCCGCGACACACAGGATGACTTTTAGATTCGCTTTCACCTTTCCACCATGTGCGGAACTCGTAAGACGCATCAGACATTTTCTATTGGCTTACCCTCGCACTCCCTGCGCAATGCCAGACGCTTGGCAACTCTTTTGGCATACTATCCACCATTTTGCAGAGCATGGAGCGTGAGATGTTTGCCCACTACCTCTACAGAAACGCCTCCAGCCCCGAGATGCTTTTGCTTGCGAGGTCCATTTCGCTGAGGCGTGCCTTCAGGGTGCCCAAAATATTGTCGATGCGGTTCCGACCAGGATAGTTCCCCGGCTACATTCCGTGTCCCCGAACCTCGGAAATGTCGCTTGAGACCACCCTGGAGCTCTACGCCACGTGAGCGGAGCGCCACCTGGCATGCATATGGCGGCCGGCGTCTCACGCACCATCTGGCTACGCCGACGGTCTGGTTTTCGGCTCCACGTGCAGCTCTATGAGTCCCAGAGCAGTCATTATCCCCTCCCCCTCCACCTCAGAGAGCATGACCTTCTGAGTTCTTCTCAAGTCGGCCAGGAGGTAGGTACTTCTGCTCGCTTTTCCCCCAAATGCGGGCGTTTTTAGCTGGAGGGGAGGGTTGTCTGAGCCCGAAAACAAACTGGTCTTTCCAAATAGCCTCTTCAGAATTATCCTTGTTACAGTTTTTATTTTTTGTGAAGCTTCGCGTTTGCCTTTCGCTTTTGTTGCGGTCAATTTTGACTGCTTAACCCTTAAGTGTACCGTGAAGCCCAGGAGCGCCTGATGTAACGATTAACGGTCGCGCTGCATGCCCCAAATCCCTCTCTTGCCTTTCAGTTTGGCTGATATTTTTCCCACGCTCTGCCTTTCATCAGCACAGCTTTGGCGCAGGCAAGTTTTAGTACCCGGCTGACCAGCAAAGATCGGCCTGAACCATTCTTGTCATTGAGAGATTCACCTTGTGAAAATCAACACGTCACTAACAATACCGTGACAGTGACAGCAACACCCGTATTTACTGCTCGGCGATGTCTGTGATATGTGAAGTGATAAAAAGCATGTTCCATCCATTAGAAAATAAACCCGTTAAAAATTAGCCAGAACAACAATTCCAAAAAATAGACCAGTTTGCAAGTGTTACTCGATAAACTGAACTCTACACGTAATTTTGGGGTATTTGCGCCGCCCGAATGTAAAAACGATTGGAGCTACTGGACCAAATGTGCAGACACATTTTGAAACACCATGCGCGTCTTACAGCTGTCGCATTTCGGAAACAGACGTCCTACCGCCTCCTAATTCTAAATCCTTCCTTCGCGCACTTAAGAGACGTGTTTGTAACAATGCGTCGAGGAAGAGCCGAGCAGGTGAGAAGTCTTGGCGGCAAAGCCGAGTCAGGGAGTGTCTGTGCCATCGTCCATCGTATTGTCCGCGTTTAGGCTTACAGTTACTCCTTCGGGAGCTGTTCGTCGCGAGCCAGTCCGCTCAGACTGCAGCTGCTCATTGTGAGCCAGCCTGCTCAGACTACAGCTGTTCATCGCGAGCCAGCCCACTTAGACTGAAGCCGTTTGTAGCGAGCAGCCCTCTCAGACTGTAGCTGTTAGTCCCGAACAGCCCGCTCAGACTGCAGCTGTTTGTAGCGAGCAGCCCGCTCAGACTGCAGCTGTCTGTCGCGAACAGCCCGCCCAGACTGCAGCTTTTTGTCCCAAACAGCCCGCTCAGACTGCAGGTGTTTGTAGCGAGTAGCCCGCTCAGACTGTAGCTGTTAGTCCCGAACAGCCCGCTTAGACTGCAGCCCAGGTCCAACCGCCGGCGTCTTTTCGTGCACTGTATTTCGTGTGGTCACCGGCAACGATAAATCATACAAAAACACGGCTGAGAGGCGCGGGTGGCCGCTGTCGTAGGTCCGGCGGCCGGCGCAAGCCAGCCGAACCCAGCGGCGGGCGCAACGCCGGCCAGCGACAGGTTGCAGAGGAACGGAACGTGGAACGGTACAGACTAAACGGACACACGAGGACAGCGTTCCGCTGGGTGGAGCCGGCCCATGAGCTGCTGCTCACTGTCTTCGGTACGCGGCGGGAGGCTGACATGCATGAAGCGGAGTGTTAAACCACGTGAGACTCCCCCAGGCACATGTCTATAGCGGGAGAATGGAACACAGATAGGCACGAACAGACGCGTTTTAACGCGAGGGGACGACGGAGAGGGTAGATGCCAGCGTTCTTCAGATAACGCATATCAACATTACCACATAGCGCATTTCATTTTGAGATTATACGAACAGTAGATGTTCCCTCCATAGCGCGCAAACATCTGGCAAATATAGGCCGTGGCCTTCAGAGTTGCTAAACTTCTAGGCATCTACAATGTAGGTACGGCGTAGTATATGCCTGCCCGTCACCAGAGAGCAGGACGGATCCCCACACTCCAAACTCGGGACAGGCAAGGCCCAGCAAAGGCTAACGCTACAGATCCACACGCCAAAGCTAAGCCACGTCCACATCCATTTTGCTCACACCGGCCTACAACATGCAATAAATGAACACGTGATACGTCTGGCGCGCGCACACACGGCCTCAGCGCGCTCGCCGCGCTCCAGTGCACTCGTGCTAAGCTAGCGATGCGCCAGCTTAGCGTAATTGGCGAGGACAACCACGCACGCTGGACTCATCCACTGAGGCCCAAATGCCGAAACACCTTTTCGGCCCTTCGCTCCAGCCTCCAAGACACGTGTAAGCTGCTAGCCACAGAAGAGTGCACGCTGCACAAACACACACGCATGCGCGCCACGAGGCCCGCCAGACAGGCACGGACTGACTCTACTGACTGGGCCCTGGTCAGGCGGCGACGAGAGCGCCCTCTCGGCGGAGGTCGCTCCAACGAGCCCGTCTCCTCTCCCCCTCACGAGCCGATCGGACCTCGGGAAGCCGAGGTCACCTGCCGCCGTCGGCCTCGGATACGACCGAGGAGCGCAGGTACGCGCCGCCCCGTGCGGCGCACGACTTCGGGCGCTAAGAGGCAGTACAGTCGTCTGCTGCACGCCAGCCCCGCCTGGTCCGTCGAAGCATTGACCGTACAAGCGCAGGAGGGCTCTGCATTCTATCAGGAGCATGCATTTGGACTCGCACACCTTTGAACTTTTTTGCTTAGAACTCTAGTGGCCGCAATGTTTGCTTGTCATTTGCCGACTGTAGAACATTAGTAACACAATTATCTGCCGCCCCAAAATCAGGAGCATCTCGCATATGCCGTGTGAATAACTCTCCCAAAGCACAAGTCGTCAAGCTAAAACAGCTCTGAATTTCGTCCCGAAAATCACCTTTCAGTGGAACAGTCTGTTCCAAGATGCGATGTCTTTCAACTCCATATCCTAAGGTGAACCCTTTTCTAAATCTGTCAGTAACCCTGATAAGCTATATTTGGCCAAGATATGTTACGAAATAAGCTGAACTTCTCGGGGCGGCAGGCGTTAAAAGTAACAAAAGACAGAAGTCCAGGAACGAACGAACAGCTACAACATAAACTTCATGGCCCAAGGAATAGGGGGAATGTCAAGATGTTTACTTACATAACCAAACAGCGATAGGCTCCGGTTATGCCAAGGCTCTGCGTTGCATGGGGCCCTAATCGCGGGAGATTCAGTGTCATGCTGTCACACATTCGCGGTTTATCGATGAGGTCGTTTCTGTCTTGATCTGTTTCACGGCAAGTGCAAATCACCTAGAATAAGCGCCGCTTTATCTGTTCAATAGAGTCCGAGTGAAATGGCGAGGTCACCAGAGCTTTACCCGGTGTAGAGGTGCGTTTCGTTGCTCGCGTCGCACCCCTCAACCAGCGCTGTATAGCAGCGTAATGCCAATTCCACGCGTACAGCCCATGCCCCTGGCCGCACAAACATCTATCACGTGCAGCTACGAGCTTCTTCGGAGAGGCCAAGGCTGCGAGTCTCTTTGGAAAGGCCGGACGCTCTTGCGGCGCGGCGGCGGCGCCGCGACGGCTACCGCAGCGCCATGTACGCCGCTGCTCGGCGGAGAAGTAGGCCATGCGAGCGCACCCGGTCTCAGTGCACGCGCACAGGCCGCAGCTCCACGCGCCACCGTTCGCTGAGACAGTTGAGATGCGGTGGAGTTGCTGGGCCGGGGCGGGGTCGCTGCCAGCTTACAGCCGGAGCGACAGCAGCGCCGCCACGAGCCAGATCGCCGAACTAAACACCGCCGGCGCTCCGCTGGTGGTGACGTCACGCGCCCGCATCATGACTCCGTCGATGACGTGGATGTACCCGTTGGTGCACTCGACGTTGGTGCGCGTGACGCGCGCCTGCATGCCCTCCCACTTGATGACATATTCTGCGGAGAAAAAGGGTGCTGAGAGCGGGCTCGGGAAGGCATCAGGATCGGCCTCATCACCGTGACCCCTGCACGGGACCTGAGCTTGGGGCTCCGCGCAAACGTGACGTAACTGCGTGGCTGGCAGCATATGATTGCCTGAAGGGCAGCATCGAATTGTTCCATAATTATAAGCACCTGATAACTTTTTACTTAGCAGCAGGGTTGAATTACAGAGAAGTCTGACTGCAATTCATTTTTTTTCTATAGGTAGAAAATATATCCAAGGTCATGTAGTTTTTACACAGCTGCGGCAGCTACAACGCGCCCTCCAACGTCTCTGATCAGCCGTATTTGCCATGCCAGATCCTAAAGCGGAAGATGAATCAAGTCAAATGCTGAGACAACTAGGTTTTGACCATAGCTAATGTAAGTTTTGACAATTTTTGTGGTAGGTTTGGCCGTATGGATTCGCTAGATGTCCTTAACTAGTTTAGCGAAACCATATGCATTCGTAAACGCATGTCAATTAACAGCTGATAAATGCAGGACAGCAGCACATCCACAAAAGACACACAGCAAAAATGGCATTTCATAAACGACACAAAACCAAAGCTGGTTGAAAAGCCATAAACGATGTACAGGTTATTCGCTTAATAGCGTAGCATGATAGTACCAGCAGATAGAATATCAATCAGAGATTGCTAATGTTAAACTATAGGTAGGACGAATCTCCACATAAACTGAAAAAAGCCAACAAATCGCACAGCAGCCAGAGACCGCGGATGCACAGCCGCTACAGGGGATCTGATAAAATGCCGCTTAATCGGCGGGCACCGCTAAGGCAGCGCCATCAGCTTTACCATTCATTGGAGCACCGAGCGCTGTTAAAGAAGAGCGCCGGTTGATATCTGCTGCGTCGTAGGAATGATGCTCACACCGGTTCAAGACGGGCTATGGTATGTTAAGCACTGTTTCCACACTGACCGACGCGGGAGCATCGAAGCATCTACTTCTCATTGCACGCTATTTGTTGGGAATAATTGTAAACAATTGACGGTCGAGCGAGAAAAAAGGACTAGAAATGTCTGTATAAGTTTACCCTTTACTCTTTAACGTTAACTTTTCCGCTCTGTGACGGCCTTGCACGCACCTGACGTGCCAGGCACGTTCTCCACGTGGAAGAGGGTCTTGAAGGTCTTGACGCCGCCCTCCTGCAGCGACAGACGTACCAGCTCCTCCATGTTGTAAGCATGGCCAATCACCAGATGACGCTCCAGGATGTTGGTGGCCTGTGGACGTGCGGACGGTGAGCCGGCGAGCTGGGACAGGGGCATGAACAGGAGAGAGCGCCGAGGCCGCAACCAGGGACGGCGGCAGGGAGCGCAGGCGACTACGGGGCTGAGACAGGTCCCAGACACAGGTCAGGACAGGTCAGGTCGAGACAGGTCAGGGCCGGAGGTACCACTGAGACAGTATCGGTGACTGGAGGACGTTGTTACCTGTCTGCGGGCCACCTGACCGTTTTGCACCTGATCTAGTCATGCGCTGATAACAGGGCAGAGGTGGAGGACAGCTCTGAGATCGGGGCGAGACCTGGAGGCTGCGCTGAGATCGAGGCAGAGATCACATGCGTCGGGAGAGGGTCCAGGGACCTCAAAAGGATCAAGATGGGGATTGGAGACCGCGCTGATACAGAAACAGACTCTGAAGACAGCACTGAGAGCGAGAACGGACAGCGCTCCATAGTCGCTGGCTCTGGAGACAGCACTGAGAGCGAGAACGGACAGCGCTCCATAGTCGCTGGCTCTGGAGACAGCACTGAGAGCGAGAACGGACAGCGCTCCATAGTCCCTGGCTCTGGAGACAGCACTGAGAGCGAGAACGGACAGCGCTCCATAGTCGCTGGCTCTGGAGACAGCACTGAGAGCGGGAACGAACAGCGTTCCATAATCGCTGGATTGAGCTCTCCTGGGCCGCTAACCCTGTCAGGCCGCTGGAGCCCGACGGCTTGACCCGCTCATATTGGGTGGGCGAGGTGCTTGGGTAAAGTTACAAGGTTCATCACCGTAATCAAATGGTTCTGCCCTACGATTCTACATACATAAACAAGAAGAAAACCGAGAGCTACACATGAAACGTAAAAAAACATAATTCAGACGGGCATGAGCTGGTCAGCGCACCGATCAGTTAAAAGCGCCAGATTACCCCCCCCCCCCCCCCACATCTGTATATCACAACATCCCAAAAATCGTTAAACAATGGGATGACTTGCAACATCAACGACTTTCATAAAGATATGCACCATTAAAAAATCAAACATTGTTGTGTACATGCCACGCAGTATAACAATACAGCACACCTGTAGCACCGCTGCTCCTCCTCCGCCCAACACATACACGTCAGTTCAGCTGGCTGCTGTCGCAGTCTGCTGGTCCCTCTCCTCCTCCTCCGCCCAACACATGCGCGTCAATTCAGCTGGCTGCTGTCACGGTCTGCTGGTCCCTCTCCTCCTCCTCCGCCCAACACATGCACCTCAGCTGGCTGCTGTCGCAGTCTGCTGGTCCCTCTCCTCCTCCGCCCAACACATGCACGTCAGCTGGCTGCTGTCGCAGTCTGCTGGTCCCTCTCCTCCTCCTCCACCCAACACATGCACGTCAGCTGGCTGTTGTCGCAGTCTGCTGGTCCCTCTCCTCTTCCTCCGCCCAACACATGCACGTCAGCTGACTGCTGTCGTAGTCTGCTGGTCCCTCTCCTCCTCCACCGCCCAACACATGCACGTCGGGTCAGCTGGCTGCTCTCGTAGCCTACTGGTCCCTCCTCCATGGATTTAGACCCCGGCGTGTCCAGCGCACCACCCACCTGGTAGGACGCCTTGCCGCTGAACAGTGACTTGTGGGAGGTGGGCAGCTGGCGCTTGAGCTTCTCCCAGGCCAGGTTGGACGGTACGAACATGGTGAACTTGCGGTCCATGCGGCGAACATTGTCACCGAACCGGTCCTGAGCCGCCAGCGCGCTCGTCGAGCTGCGAGAGCAGTGGCAGACACACGACCAGGTGACACACAGTCAGGTGACACGAGGTCAGGTGACACAGTCAGGTGACGCACGTCCACTGGCCAGGTGACACACGGGTCAGTTGACACACGGTCAGGTGATACACGTCCACTGGCCAGGTGACACACAGTCAGGTGACGCAAGGTCAGGTGACGCACGTCCACTGGTCAGAAAACACACGGCCCAGTGATACATGGTTATGCGGTATAGCCAGCTGACGCTCCATCAGGTGACTCACGGGCATTTGATACACGACCAGGTGATACATTATCAGCTTAAACGCTGTCAGGTGCTATACGGTCAGGCGACATGGCACTCCCAACTTTTCGGAACTCGTATGTTGACGAAAATAGGGCTGGGAGAGCGTCGCGCAGTAATCGCATGTTCCGTGCCTGCGCGACGTTGCGTGCGTTTGGAGGCCCAGAGCGTCCCTGGGTCGATACGGCGGCCCCACTCACGAGTCGTACCTGCTGCGGTATCCGCGCCTGGTTGTACGAACAGGTAGGTGCACTCTCAGCGGTATCATTTACCACGTGACCTGCGTCATTGACCAGCGAGCACAAACACACGTGCTGGGTCATGACCGCAGCTGTCTGAGGGTAAACTTCCGCCTTTTTAAATTGCCGGCGCGCCTTTCGCAACAAGAGGCAGCCAAGACAATGCAGAGAACCGCGTGCACCGGACTCTCTCTGACTTGTTTCGTGACCGCGGCATCATTTCAGTCGTGGCGCACGTTCCAAATTCTTCATCACAGAGACATCTCGGATTACCGAGATAGAGAGAGGGAAGGAGAGAGAGAGAGAGAGAGAGAGAGAGAGAGAGAGAGAGAGAGAGAGAGAGAGAGAGAGAGAGAGAGAGAGAGAGAGAGAGAGAGAGAGAGAGAGAGAGAGAGAGAGAGAGAGAGAGAGAGAGAGAGAGAGAGAGAGAGAGAGAGAGAGAGAGAGAGAGAGAGAGAGAGAGAGAGAGAGAGAGAGAGAGAGAGAGAGAGAGAGAGAGAGAGAGAGAGAGAGAGAGAGAGAGAGAGAGAGAGAGAGAGAGGAGAGAGAGGAGAGAGAGAGAGAGAGAGAGAGAGAGAGAGAGAGAGAGAGAGAGAGAGAGAGAGAGAGGAGAGAGAGAGAGAGAGAGAGAGAGAGAGAGAGAGAGAGAGAGAGAGAGAGAGAGAGAGAGAGAGAGAGAGAGAGAGAGAGAGAGAGAGAGAGAGAGAGAGAGAGAGAGAGAGAGAGAGAGAGAGAGAGAGAGAGAGAGAGAGAAGAAAGAGGAGAGAGAGAGAGAGGAGAAAGAGGAGAGAGAGGCGTTACTTCAGTGCACGCAGGTGTCTCAAACAGGGGTACGTTATGTTGGCCAACGGCGGTTATCCTGACCACTGCAGGCGCCGCTGTAAAGGCGGTGTCTTCATTTCCCGAAAGCAACACAAACTCGTATAGCAGCTCAGCCTCTTCCCCTGATGCGTCTCTGAGCCACTGCACCTCGAACGACCAGAGCCAGGTCGCGGGAGCACCCAACAGGGGCCCGAATGGCGCCAGGATCCGACCCCAGAACGGTCCCGCGAGCGCAGCTCAGTGCCGCCCGTCGTCCGGCGGTCCCAGCGCCAAGATTCGACCCCAGGACGGTCCCTCGAGCGCAGCTCGGTGCCGCCCGTCGTCCGGCGGTCCCAGTGCCAAGATCCGACCCCAGGACGGCCCCTCGAGCGCAGCTCAGTGCCGCCCGTCGTCCGGCGGTCCCAGCGCGACGTCACCCACCTCATCATGGAGTCGACAGCCAGTTTGTCGCCCAGAGAGCGGTACGGCACGCCCAGCAGCTTATCGATGACGTGGACGACACCGTCGCGCACCACGATGTCGGCGATGGTGACGGAGGCGTTGGTGCCGCCGCCCTCCACCGTCATCGTCAGGTTGCTGCCCTCCACGCCCGACAGGGAGATGTAGAGCGACCGGCTCGTGTCGGCAGACTGCACGGTGTACAGCTGGAACGGACGGCCCCGGGTCAGGTCCTACAGCTTCGCCGTCAGCCTGCATGTCCTGCGCGTCAGACGCACTCGGACGCACTCATCAGGTACACAGTGGCGGTGACGCGGGATGGTTTGCTACACCGCGAGTCGGGCCACTGCCGAGGCCGATCTAGATTCCAACAGGGTGCTGGAGGTCAATGCCGTGGCGTATAACTGCAGACGAATGCATCGGGTTCGTTGCAGTGTTTTAAACAGCCACCTGACGATGTTACAGCCTGTAAAGTCTGCTTCAGCTGAATCAATTTGGTGTTTCTTACAGCCTTAAGCACATTTAGATAACAGCCATGGTACATTACATCGAAGAATACAGCAACGCGAATTGCACGTTTGCGATACCAGCAGCGCGTACGCAGACTAAGTGGGAATGTCGAACCGACTTCACCTGCCTGACCTGGGAGCGTGACTTCCCCTTAAGACTGTCAACTAGGAGCGAGACACCCCTCTCCAGTCTCACCTGGGAGCGGGACACCCTCTCCATTCTCACCTAGGAGTAGAACACACTCTCTCGAGCCTCACCAGGGAGCGAGACACTCTCTCGAGCCTTACCTGAGAGCGAGGCGCCTTGCGGATGTTTTCTGTGGTCACCCTCTGTCGCACTAAATGCAAGCTCAGAAGCTTTCGCAGCTTCTGTGGCGACAGCTTTACCTCAGTCAGCCTGCGAGGTAAAATACGCAACAGTTACTGAACACCTGGACACATGGACCAGTATAGCTAGGGAAAATGTTTCAGATTCAATTGACGCGATTTGACCACGGTGGATTGTGCGGTCATGGTACATGTGTGCGAAGTTGAAATTAAAGTCACGAGGCCCCTATGAAAGGTCGATGAAAACACATCCCACAATTTGCAGCCTATTTCATGGTGGACAGGGTCGCATTTTGGTCACTGAATAAACTCAACGCACTTAACACGGCCTTGGGTACAGGGTAAAGGTACAAATGAAAACAGTATGTTTTTATTTTGTATAGTCATGAATGTTTTGCTACTGTCTCAACCATAACGAAATATTTCGCGTGTTTTACAAATGGTCAAGCAGCCATTTTCCAGGAAACCAGGACCGAAGTTTTTGACCTGCTACAAAAGTTCATGTGGACATAACGTTTACGTATCAAAGTGCACTAATCCAATCACACTGGCGTCGGATATATGTATAAGCAGTTGTTTAATCTCACCGCTTCTTGTCGACAGTGTAAAAGGCCTCGTTGGAGGGGATGAAGAAGGTGGCGCCGTCCGCCTCCCGCATGGTCTGCAGGAAGTCGGTCGCGTGGTTCTGCAGCAGGTCGAAAAACTCGAAAAACCTGTCCTTGGAGCCATCCTGTGGACAAAGACAAGGAGATTTCGAGTGACAACGTCCACACAGATGTTTAAAGCATATGTGGTTGCTTAAAACACATACAATCTGGCTTCCAGAGAGCTGTTTCCCATTGGCCTCCGTTGATGTCGTTTAGAGAAAAGATGCTTCCGAGCACCATATAAGTGCAGCAACGAATTCGGTCTAAATCGGCTGAATTGCCATCTAAGCTCAAACAAAAGTTTTTGGAGAACTAGTCGAAACCCGGCCGGAATGGTTCCGCGCCGTACTTCACCCGGGACGACTTGGACCGCCGTCAGTCGGCCAGATTCGCAGACAATACAGTACCTTTTAGACAAGACACTTCCCCTTCAAACTGACTGCATGAAGTTGGTTTCGTCTGGATCAGTGATTCAAAAGGATTAAAATAACTAAATAGAGCACACGCAAAATTGAGCCGACAGCATCATCAGTGTCCTAGCTAATCTACGGTATCTTGAAGTGAGCCGGCTACCTGAATGAACTGGAAGGTGGTGGAGTCCATGACCATCAGGGGCCGCTGGATGATGTGGACGACCCCGTTCTTGACGGCGATGTTGGGCTTGATGACCTTGACGAGGACGGTGCCGGCCTGGTGCACCGAATCGCCCACCAGCGTTTTGCTCTCCACCTCGACTGAGACGCGCAAACCAGTCAGTCCAAACGCCGCGGCCACTCCCGCGGCTCGCCGGCCAGACCGATCAGCGGCACGCCCGGTAGCCAGCAATGTGGGCAGCTACGGCTTGGTCCAGGCCCGCGGACTCGCCTTCAGGGCTGATGCCCTGCAGCTTCGTCAGCGCGTCATACACAGGGCTTATCTTTCTTGAGCGATGAAAACAAGACCAGGTTAAGCAAGCAATATCCAGTTTAGCGATCCCGTATATAGTATATGTTGCAATATACACTTCTATTGGCTTATAATATCCAATCCTTTTGGCCTTTTGGATTACGTCTTTACATCGTGCATGGCAGTGTGCCATTGCTTAGTGCCTCCTGCCTGCCCTTCACATCAGCACTCCGCTAATACCACCATCACGTGGCGTCCATATCCCAAGCGAGAACACTCAGAGCGAATCCCAGCAGGGGTAAGTACATGCATTCCACTCAGCCGTGTCAGTAAAGCAGTGCCGGGGACAGATAATGGGCAAATAACCTCTGCAACGATGAGCTAGTAGGCTGACGCCCTCTTGGTAATTGGTACGCACGCATGATGGTGTGATATTTGTATGGCGCAGCGTTGGTACCAAATGATATGGTTCAACCTGCGCATCGTGGCCATAGGAGCCTGAAGAATCTGTCCAGTTTCGTGCGCATGATGAATGCATTTGCGCAACCTATGAGAGCTGCATTGCTATACTTCAAATAAAAAGGATTCAAATAGAACGGATCAATTTGCTCTTGTGTTGGACTTCTGGAATCCTTGGTCATCACCCATGTATCGCATTTTACCAAAATAAACCAGAGCCGGATCATTTCCGACCAAACAAAGTGTTGAACCGCTTAACTCCTGGGCATAAGCATGAGTTTATCCAAAGCTGGACGGGTGAAATCGGCCAGAACGTCTCCTGCAGCAGCGCATCACACTAAAGCCCTTCGGTGTTATTTAGTGAAAAGGCTGAACCAACGTTCCGATCAATTGACTGTTCTTCTGCAATTCGGGGACTGGCTGATCAAGCAACACTTTGTACTTAGCAAGGATCTTAACGCCAAAGCCAACCGTGCAAAGGGTTTTATCATACCAAATAGCGATGTCGGTTTCCTATGTTTTCACATGCTCGCCATCTGTTTTGTGAAATGTTCAAAGCGCACTAGTGGTCATAAATTGTTGATTAGTCATTCATTCATCCATTCAATCCTAGAAGCGTTAATAATTCATTAATCTCCCCACTTACACAGCTGAAATGGACGGCTCTCTTCCGGCACGTGCTTCTGTGCTTTCAAAACTGTCAAAAAGAAGGGGCGGTACAGGATCAACGTGCGCATGCATCTAAAAACAAAAGTGTACTCCGGCGTAAGACCACGCATCACTGCACGCTTATTCCGTGAGGCTACGCAAGAATTCTGCGCGGCTTCTTGACAGGCGCACACTGCCAATGCATTATCGGCATCAGTAAACCCGTGTGACACTGGTGTTTATCCGGCAACTAGGAAGACGACTTGTCTATTTGTGAAGATAATACCACGCAGGAGCTTCATTGTGCAGAGCATTAGAGCAGCATGTAGGCGAATATGGACGTAAATAAAACGCAATCGTTGAAACACACAAATGTGTCGTGTCAAAATTTGTACGCGCATATAATGCGTTCTCGTTTGTTCTTGCCGCGCAGTGCCCATTGGTCCAGTCTGTTCGTGCCGCGCAGTGCCCAATGGTCCGGTTTGTTCGTGCCGCGCGGTGCCCATTGGTCCAGTTTTGGAAAGGTGCAATGGGGCTGGAGGGCTCCAGGAAATGCGAGTCCTCGCATGAACGCAACCGCCGTAATATTGTGAAAGATTCGATAATTAGAAACGTAGCCATGCTAAATGTACGCAATTTAAGCAATGTGGCACTCAGAAGTACACCGAAAGGTCAGGGGGCAATCAAATTCTAGTAAAGTGGTGCGACTCCACCGTCAGCGAATCACCCGTAATCGTTCGTAACTTGTCACCAGAAAACAGGTGAGTCCAAGTGTTCCGCCCGGAAATGTCTTGATAATTGCCAACTGAAAGACCGGAATTAGTACAAATCACTGTTTTCTTAAGACGGACGTGGGCGCGGGAAAAATGAGTCCACCTTTGTCGTAACGATATAAGCTTCTGCGTAGCCTCTGAAGTTACTATTTCCCGCTGTCTTCATTGGACAAACTGTTTTGCAGCGTTTGTCTCTTGTAACTTACTGAAGAAAGTTGACTAGCATCGCCATAATCCAACTACAGTCCCTGTACAGTACCCCCAGTACAATGGGACTTACTGGCCAGGCATTTTATGTAAGCACTATTTGAAGCTGCCTTCAAACGATTTCCTGCTAAGAATAGGTGCAAATAAACAATTGTGACAGCGAAACGAATTGAAGTTCTACATGCACGCAAAAACGGAGAGCAACGAAATATTTCCCAACCGTGCACATCCTTGACGTGAGCGAGTGCACCACTCGGCACTTACAGAAGGAGTCATCGCTCCTGCTGGGGTAGGCCAGCCGCCGCAGCTGTACGGTGACCTTGAGCATGTCGCCGAAAGCTGTCGTTTTGTAGCTGTCGTTGCCCATGGTGCGTGTGAAGAGCACCTTGTCCGGTATGACGTGGCCATCGAGGACGGATCGGTCTATCTGGTCGAGCACCGCCTGCGACAGAGAGCGCGGGGCAGGTCAGGGTGGCTCGGGCTGGCCAGGTCACGCTGACGATCAGGCACGCCGAAACCATCACACAGTCCTCGTTGAAAAAAACCTTTTTGACTCCAAACCCCCGAAAAAACCTCGGCAGATGTGAGTGGAGTAAGGTAATTGGGGTTCATCGTCATGCAAAGAACATAAAAAACCTCAGCAGATGTGAGTGGAGTAAGGTAATTGGGGTTCATCGTCATGCAAAGAACATAAAAAACCTCGGCAGATGTGAGTGGAGTAAGGTAATTGGGGTTCATCGTCATGCAAAGAACATAAAAAACCTCAGCAGATGTGAGTGGAGTAAGGTAATTGGGGTTCATCGTCATGCAAAGAACATAAAAAAACCTCGGCAGATGTGAGTGGAGTAAGGTAATTGGGGTTCATCGTCATGCAAAGAACGTAAAAATGGTCGGACCAACGGTCAGATTGAACGTGTTAAATTGATATTTATTGCGATGAAGGGAGAGCAAAAGAGTAAGGGTGGACGAGCGTGCAAAGGTGAGAAGATGCATTGTCAAGACAGCAAATAACAGGGATTTGTTGGTTTCAGCATGAACATATGACCATAGTTCGTAGTCGTAGAAAACAGAGCAGCAAAATAAGTATTAACGTGTAGTTGTAAGAGACAGAGCACAAGAACAATCACATGAAACCGGAAAAGTGAGGATATAAGCCGCTAAAAGAGTAGATCATAAAAATGTTTGGTACCGACACGGATACATGAGTTCTGGGTTCATGTACGTTGAGAGAAGAGCGCAAAATATACCAAGCAAAGCACTGATTGCGAGACGATTCCCCACTCTGAGCAGAAGATGACATAAACGTGGTGGACTTCGGAAGACTGCGTGCTTTTAACGTCCACCTTCCGGATAGCGGAGCATGAGGAGTGTCGGTAATGTGTAGAGTCGGTGGGCAAATGGCGAGTAGTGAGAATCGAGTCCCTCATGCGCTCTAACACGGACTCGGGACCGAGCCAGGACTCACGTCCAGTCCCTCGTCCACGGGAATGAAGTAGGTGTGAAAGCCCTGGGTGTCGAACACGCCTATCTTCTCCAGCTGCTGCACCTTCTCATAGAACTTCCTGCAACAGCGGCGGCACCTCACTGCAGCAGACTCGTGGCCTGAATGTCTCGGTCGCATTTCTCCTTAAATCGCCAGCTGTGAAGAGCTGGGAGCGAGCAGAGCGGGGCTTGGCTGCACTCGCTGTCCAAGTGCTCAACCCGGGGCTAAGCCAGGTGTCTGGCATAACACCGTTAAATCCTGACGGACATTTGGTGAGTTGTCAGTCCACAGATCGGAGTATCTACTGTGTCCGCCCACTGCGTCCGCCCTCGTCGGAGGCAAGTCCCGCATATTCTCACAGAGCCACAATAGCGACCACGGCGCATATAAGAACTCATGGGACTCAGACACGGTGTTAGACTGCCTACTTAAAAGCGGGTCGGAAGCCGGGCAGCGTCCGGACACTTTGTAACAGCTACAACACCAACCAGACAAATTATCACCGATCGATGGATCTGAATGGCGGCTATAATGAGCTGCCTGTTCCGTTGAAAAGGACGCGAAACCGCATCGGTCTAATGAGTGCCTCTGGCTTCAGTCACGTTAAAGTTAAGAATTGCGTGACAACTCCCAGGGGAGCGCACCGGGGTCACTCACTTGATGGAGGCGTCCCCCAGCCGGTATTTGGCAGAGTTTGACAGCAGTTCCAGGGCGTTGGGATTAAACAGCTTTGAGTCACGAGAATTCGGAATAGTTGGCTCTAGTACTTCGTCAATGATGTGCAAAATCTGCAATCATAGAATGCCCGTCAATAGAAGTTCTAAGCACGACATCTAGATTAGGTGTACGCCGACAACAACCAGCATGTGAATTATAATGGAATCCTGTTACTATGTTAAAAAATTGAACAAAATCTAGCATCTCATTACGATACAAAGCACTGAAGTAAAGCAGGGCTTTTTGAGCTGCTCACATAACCCAAGACACATCGATACCAGGCATAAGCTGGTGACATTCGCAGCACGTCCCTAGGTTCACTGAGTCAAAGGCACCAGCAGCGCCACTACCACAGATCTCTCCGCCCCGACCGACCTGATCTGACCCGTCCTGCTCGGACGTGGCCTTCAGGTCACGGGTCACCAGCCGGGCGTTGTTGACAAATATGTCAGGCTCGTCTCCGCGACGCGGCTGCACGGTGACGAACACGGCCTGGCTGCCCTTCAGGCGGGTCAGCACCGAGCGCTCGGTCACCAGCTGGGAGGACGGCTGCGCCACGTTCACTGTCGGCCAACGCGGACAGCCGGTCACCGCTGGCCAAAACACGGCGGGCTTCACCAGCTGGGCGGTTCGCTTCAATAGCTGGGCGGTGGGAAGTGTCACGGTTACATGTCGGCCAAAACGCATGGTTAGCGATCGACGACGTAAATACAGTGGTCATTCAATGGCGCCGAGGGAAGACCCAAGCTTATCGAATCCAACAATTCATTTGTCCTTCACATTTGGAGAAGTTACCAACACTTACGTGTGCAGCACTTGTCTCAATACAATAAGTTATTGTAAGAGAGAGAGAGAGAGAGAGAGAGAGAGAGAGAGAGAGAGAGAGAGAGAGAGAGAGAGAGAGAGAGAGAGAGAGAGAGAGAGAGAGAGAGAGAGAGAGAGAGAGAGAGAGAGAGAGAGAGAGAGAGAGAGAGAGAGAGAGAGAGAGAGAGAGAGAGAGAGAGAGAGAGAGAGAGCGAGAGAGAGAGAGAGAGAGAGAGAGAGAGAGAGAGAGAGAGAGAGAGAGAGAGAGAGAGAGAGAGAGAGAGAGAGAGAGAGAGAGAGAGAGAGAGAGAGAGAGAGAGAGAGAGAGGAGAGAGAGGAGAGAGAGAGAGAGAGAGAGAGAGAGAGAGAGAGAGAGAGAGAGAGAGAAGAGAGCAGAGAGCGCGAGGAGTACGAGAGCGAGAGAGGAGGATTTTATATATATATATAAATATTGCATATATTATTATATTATATCTATATATTATATCTACTCTATCTATCTATATATCTATCTAATCTATCTATCTTATATATCTATATAATATTCATCTATCTATATCTATATATGTAACTTAGTTTGCCGTATCATATTACTATAAACCATATATTATAAATTCTTCTTAACATTCATAATATACAGTTACTACCGAGATCTGGAATTCCAATTGCCGTTCACGCGCGGTTAAGTGTTGTACCTTCACGATCTCGATGCCTTAGCTCTAAACATAACATTTATTTACCATAACTTCGTTTCTGTGTTCACCATGCGCTGGCTTAGATCTTGATGAATGTTGTTTGGTTTGCCAAACCACCATGCCTATTGATATGCCCCCAGTAATTAACCGGTGTGAATACGCTAGCAGGTGAAATGCGCGCCCACATACAATGCACGGAAACGTAAAGCATCCACGTAAAATACGCCGTAAAATGCAAATGTATGCACGCCGCCAGTTGATTACTTGGCATAGTACCCGTTACTTAATCATAAATTGAAGACGCACGGACACAGGAACCTTGTATTTTCTCCATCACTGACGGCAATGCAGCAGGGTACATTAAAAGGCGAGTATATTTGCTGGAGAAGTTATTTCGTGGCGCTGAATGAGTCAAGCCAAGTGCCACCAGGTGGTGTCATTACGCGTAAATAATTAAAACAGCTCTGAGCTCTTAGCTCTAAGCGGCTCTTGAAACGGAGCTCGCGACGTAAATACGCTCTTTTTGCCAGCTTGTTTATGCTGTTACACTTCTCAAAACTGGTCTCGTAATCTATGTGGTGCATGGCGGCCTTGTGGCTGTGACGTTCTGCTGACGCCGCAACGGATCGGCTGTTTGGCGGGGTTAACTTAACACGCAGCCGCGTCGACTTCGTCACAGATACACATCGCCGGCGACGCGGAGGCGCCACTTTTTCGGAGCACCAATCAGCGCTCTTGCTGACCAGGGCGGCTCGAGCGTTCATTTGCTGCGGCCCGGAGTGGGGTTCCCGGTTCGTCGCGGGGTGTCGACACACACCGCTCATCGCTGCGGGACCGGTAAGGTCACGGGCTCCCTAACGCTCCCCCGGCGGTTGCTAGCCGGTTACCCGAGCTAATGGCGCATGGTCGATACCTGGTCGACAAACAGAGGGGTCTGGCTGCGTCCCGCCGCTGGTGCACGCGGCTGAGTGCTCAGGCCTGGCTACACGGGGGTCGACACGGGCAAGGCACGTGCTGCGCGGCTGCAGTGGGGTGGGAGGGGGGGGGGGCAAATGCCGCGGGCCGAGTGCAGCGCAGCCAGCCACAGTCGGCTGTCCTTCAGGGCCTTACATAGCACACGAACCGGTGGCCGAAGCCCGACAGTTCGTGCATTACCAGGAGTCCGCGACCGCGCAACAGAGGATTGCCGGTCTGGTTCCAGCGGCGTAACAGGTGATGTGGGGTTCACACCATTCGCTGCAGGGAGGGAACACGCTACGAGAGGTGACGTGCGTAGATTGCATGCAGACCTCAAAGCCCTAACTCACGCAGTATACATGTAATCCTATACGGCCCGCACTCAAAACCGTCACGTTTTAACAAATGATATACGTTGAGAAAAGTATTACAATATACACTTATTTTGGCTCATTACCCATGCAAGTCAAGAATGTGTAGCAACAGACATGATGTAACCAGTAATAAAACCATCACTGAACGCAAACGAGAAACAAAAGTTTGTCAATTGCAGGAGATGTTGGAAGAAAAAGGTGACCTGGAAAGGCAGCCGGGCCGATCCTACTGCGGCAGCTCACCCATGTGATACTTGAGGAGCTGGTAGTTCCGCACGCCCTGGTACTTGGCCATGGCCTCGTTGGTGGGCGCGAACACGGTGCCCTCCTGCAGTCGCATGATGTCAGACGTCAGCTGGTCCGACTTCAGCAGGTTCAGGAACTGAAACATAACGCAGGCCACGTCACTGCACTGCGCGGATGGCAGCGGGCTTGAAATAACGCCGCTATCAATAACGCCGACATCATCCGTTCTAACACGCGATCAGCAAGCCAACAGTCACTCACTGCCCACACGAGCATGGTTAGTGCCATGATGTGTGATTATGATGTTATATAAATACGGTATAAAACATGCATGACATTTGAATACATACATATATATATATATATATATATATATCATCTATATATGAGAGTATCATAATAATTCGCACCACAATATGGTATACGCTCCTACAAAAGTCCGCATTTTATTTTCAAAGTCTTATTAGTTGGGCTCAGCTTGATTCGCTCGTACAACGCTCCAGTTGGCTGAAATGCCTACGAACTAAAGCAGACTTGGCGCTGGAAAGCAGCCCCGATGCAACCAAACTTATTTTGTCGCCGTTCACGCAACTGCGCTATTATGAGGGGCGAGCATCGTGGTACATGGCAAAGGTGAAACACAAATCAGATAGCACTTTTTTAAGGATGGTCAGAAGGCAACAATGACAACAAAGAGTGGCTTGTCAACTTTGGTGCATCGAAAACAGCTGAATGCTATGACTTGATATTCGTCTTAAACCGTGATACTGCACACTAAGACGCGGTCATGATGAAAGTACCATTGCTGTATGCTATGCTCCCACTGAACCATTTCGTGATCCCTTCAAGCAATGTCCATCCTTAATGAACGCATTGTTTTCCAAAAAAAAAAAAACAACAACATAGGGCAGGGTTTTATTTGGAGGCTGCGTTTCCGCTGTCGGACCGTCTAACGCGATTCGAATTCCTGAAAGCGTGCCGTCTTGTTGTAAGGCATTCCCGTGGTCTACTGCCAGGAAACAATGGCTTCATTTCGCACCAGCCGTGAGTTATCATAAGCTGCTTGAACGCGCAGCGACATCGCCTCGCCGATTGGAGCGCGCTAGGTCCACCAATCTTGCCCCGATTTCAGAACCACATCGGGCGTGGTCGGCGGGACGCCTCGCTCCCGGGCGCCGGCTGGCCCGCCCGGCGGGAGGCGTCGCTTCCTGCGCCCGGGGCGACACCTGGCGGGACCGAGCGGAAGCTAGCCATCGCCGGCGGCGGCGAAGCGTGCGCTGGTGGGATGCAACCACCGGTCAGTGGAGCCCGACGGACCCCATTTCCGCTCCCGCCGCCGGCCGCAGCCGGCGTGCGGGAGCACCTGCCCGGAGAACCGGGCCGGCACCGCGGCTGACATCACGTGACCCCGGTCGTGACCGGAGGCGGACATCACGTGACCGCATGCGGCAGCGGGACGCCGCGCGCCGCCGCAGGGCGTGGCGGCGGGAGCTGACGGTCCGCTCCGGTCCGGCGCGGCCGCCAAAAGGGTCGCGGGCCGGTCCATCACCGGTGATATCACCGGTGACTCAACGCGGCTCATGCATATGCGTTAGAAGCTGCACCCCAACCGGTGGTAGCGACACCTTGTTCCAGGTTTCCGGCCCGGGGGGAGCTCAGCGGCGCTCCGTGTCAGAATGCCGGCTGTGATGTCACGCCCGGAGAGGCTGCCGCGATCGGTGCGACTGCGTTGCACAGAGCTACCTTAGCCAACAGCCAGCGGAACAAATACACGGTAACTTTGATTAGGCAGCAAGATCTCACTCCTAATTGATTTCATGTGCATAGTAAGCCTTCGCCACCACCGACCGACCAGCTGCAAACAGCTGACTGGTGGAAATGCTTGGTGCTTTTCAGGTCACACTCTTTGTCAGATAAGTGATCGGGGTTTGTCGGTCAGGGGTTGCCAGGCCGCTGCCAGAACAAGAAATTCGTCTGACAACGTTTGAAATTAAGCCAGAGGAGCTGGGAAAACTGAACAGCCCTGAAAGCTTCCAGACTTGTTAAAATACGTCCATTTCCCTCACTTTTCCCATGCATTCAAATATTAGCCCGCACCAGATGCATTTGAAACTCGGCGAGAGGAAATAAAGCCGACTTTGCTGCCGCTCCTTTAGCGAGATGCTGAGCCAGGTCCGGCGCTAGTCTCGTCTCTCGCCGATCGACTGTCGTCAGCTCCGTTCAATAGTCACCCAGATTGGAGACGGGTACCATCTGGCGCGGCCGTGTCGGCCGGCCGCTTGCGGTGTGCTCGATGTACCCGCCATGAGCCCCGTCAGCCCCGCACTAAGAGCCGACCCAATCCGACACAGCCAGCCGGCCGTCGAGGGAGCCAGAGCCCCGGCGGCCGCACAGAGAGCACATTACAGCCCCCTCCCCTCCCTCCCGCCCACCTCATCACACGGCAGGGCACCCCCGGGCGACACCTTGACGGCCGTACGGGGGACGCTCCCCACGAACGCGGCCTCCCGGTGGAGCGCGAACGCTGGGCCGGGCGCAGCGCGACGAATCACGTGAGCGGCGCAGGTGCCGCGCCGGTCCGCGCCGCGCCGGTGGCCGGCACATCCGGCCGGCGTCCGCCGCCGCGCCACAATGGGAGCGCCGCGATCGTGGCTCGGCATCCGCTGCGGTGCTCCGCGGCGGCGGCGCGTCCACAAACACGGCGCGGCGCCGCGGGCGCCGCAGACGCCCACGTCGGCACCACTGCGGAAGAGCGCCCCTGCGGAGGGCGGCGGCCGGTGGGAGGAGGGCGAGGGCCACACGAGGGGCGGGCAGCGAGCACACGCAGCCGGGTGGAGTCACCAAGTGATGGCACCTGGCAGGAGCCAGATTCGAGGGAGGGCGGAAAGAACTGTCGGTAGCGTGTGTGTGTGTGGCTGCTTGGTGCCGGAAGAACGTGTGTGTGTGTGTGTGACTGCTTGACACCGGAACAGCTTTGCTGTGCGATTGATGCACTGTTCGTCAGTGGAATGTCTTCAGGGGCCAGGGATCCGAGGGCATGATCCAGCAAAACACCAGTGATCCGAGATCACTATAAAAAATATCATTGCATGAATTTCGCTTTTGCAGCCTGAATTCATATGAGACGGCGGGCACGGAAATGCAAGGCTCACGATGAACGTATTAAGCGTAATACGACGCTTCGCGACCAAACAGATTTGACACACATTTTCTCGTGCTGGTAGCAGAGCGTGCCACCCGTATGCAGTACTTTTGCAAGCTGGTACATGGCACATTTATTTAAAATGAATAAGGCCTTACAGCAAATGTCTTATCAGCACTTACAGTGACAGTTTATTCAGGCGCACAACGTTTTCATACAGGCCCGCCCGGTTTAGGGTTCTGTACCAGCCGACAGCCAGATTGATAATTCAGCCCACCTCCCAGTGCTTCGTGAGCTCATCGATCTAATGACTGATCGGATACATTTTCCGAATATTCCGAAGTGACATCTCTGTGTGATCTCTTGAAAGGCCTCATTGTCTCGCGTTCTCGTTAGCTTTAGCTAGAGCTCCCAACCACCTGATCATCTCCTTGTACGCACAGCGGCATCCATCCAGCCTGTCAAGCGAGCGCTGCCTTCCCAGGGGCGGGGAGCTGCTCTCCATCACACCAGCCCCGCCACGGCCGGCACACCGCGGTGCCGCGCCTACTCCGGCGGCCGCCCGGCCGGCGTGGGTGGCGGGCCGGAACAGCGAACCGGGCCCGGGGGCTCCCCGTGTCGGCACCGTTCGCAGCCCGAGGAGGGGCAGCCAGCGCCGCAGGGTCCCCGTGTCGGCACCGTTCGCAGCCCGAGGAGGGGCAGCCAGCGCCGAAGGGCCGTGTCCGGTCCGGCCGTGTCGGGACCACTCGCCGCTCGAGGAGCCACAGCCGCGGGAAGCCGTCGGGTCACGGTGGCCGGTGTGGGCGGTGGCAGAGGACTGAGGGAGATATCCCAGTCCCGGGCGGGATGATCGCCAATTAGCAGTAGAGCACTCCAAAATGTCGCTGGGCTTGGCACCTTGTTACGAGAAAACTGGGGCACTGGTATACTCCTGACAGCGGTGCATGGAGATACTTAGATAAGAACCAACAAATAGCACATACATCCGCTCAGTAAGGACGGATTAACGCCAGCCATTTAATTTAAATCGGGTGGTTTGGCATCCCGGCAGTGCCGCTAGGACGGACACCGAAAAAGGGAGAGCCATTCAGAGAGGCGCCGCGTGATCATGCAGTAAAAGGGTCCGTAACCCAAACTAACGCTCATCGTCATCATTCAAGCCTTTCAACCTTTTCGAAAAACGAACGGCTGAATTATGGTAGCCATTACAGCAGGCAGTAAAATCAGGGATGTTTGCACATAGAAGCCCCCGGAGGTATGCGCCTTACAAAAGTTCTGGCATATTTTAGTAGGTTTGCGACTGGATCTTAACAGTTCAAAATGTCAGGTAGACACGTAGACAATGAGAAAATTGGAAATGTGCGATGCTATTTCACGCTAGGCAAGGAATTGCACGCCAGCGGCGCACTAAACTCAGTACTAGTTTACTTTTCCTTATGCCTCTTTGTATTGAGAAATTGTGCTTACGCCCCAGAGTAAAATTCTTACAGCACGTACTGCTGCGATATACCGGGAAAGGGTCACACCCTGCTCCTCATGCGTTATGCACTACGTTCCTAACTATGAGCACTCTGTCTCTTCAGCCCATTTAGAACGGCTTCACAAGTTTTCCGTCCGTTAAAGCATGATACCTTTGCATATCTTCTCACAATGACTACCGTGGGTTATATATATATATATATATATATATATATATATATATATATATTATCCGGTTAGTTTGTACACGGGCGACTCATTACCGCCCGGCAGTCCCAGGTACGCACAAACCGGTGTCCGGTTTGTACACGGGCGACTCATTGCCGCCCGGTAGTCCCAGGTACGCACAAACCGGTGTCCGGTTTGTACACGGGCGACTCATTACCGCCCGGTAGTCCCAGGTACGCACAAACCTGTGTCCGGTTCGTACACGGGCGACTCATTACCGCCCGGTAGTCCCAGGTACGCACAAACCGGTGTCCGGTTTATACACGGGTGGCTACCGCCCGGCAGTC